AAATTTGGAATGAGCGACCAGAAAGTGGGCTCATATGATCACAGTTCATTTGCGGGCCCTCCAGCAGGAGTCAGCAAAGCTGCTTCTTCAGCTACTCCTCAGGCCGCGGCGCCTAAGGCTGCAATGGCAGCGCCACCCAACACAACTACTCCTCCTGCCAAAGGCGGTGGGGGTGGTCGTGGGAGTGGCCAGGGATCCAAAGGATCCTGAAAATTTCCAGATGCCAAGGCTCTGCGTCTGAGAACGGTATACCCTAGCCAGTATAGTCCTTATGGCTACACATTTTTTCTCAGATTACCCCTCCCTTTGAAATTTCTCAAGCTGGTAGAATGCTGTCCTTTGAATTTTCTTAAAAGAGGTATCGCCAGCAACAGAGGGGGAAGCAGAAAGCCAGCAATGGCAATGCATGTTTCCAATTCGCCGCCAGCAGCTACTCCTCTTTGCAGGAAACATCATCCAGGGATTATACATTTAACCAGTCATATTTCGGTAGGATGGATTAGAACACCAATCAGAAGAAAACAACACAGAAGACCTCGTAAACCCAAACCTTCCAATCCACACCTGACACATGCCCTCCATTATATTGTAGCCGTAGCTGCAGTTGTCCATTTCTACGCCACCCCATGTAGGACTAACCCTCATATCATCTTCATGGAGGCCTTGATGGTGCATCAATCCTCCCAACTACTCCTCAACCTAGCATCCCAGGTTTTAATTTCTTTTCACTCTTTGTCCACTTCAATTAATAAACTCATGCATACTCTCAATGGCAATATACCTTCCACAAACATGCCCCCAATTATCCTCAACCTAAATGACAGATTACCACCTTTACCCCAGGAAGCTAATTCAACACTGTCCCACTCCAATATACAACCCATCAGACTGTTCGATCTACTCTACCCGACTCCCCCAAATGAACACCCTGAGCACCCTAATCCCTTAGATGCACCCATTCCCATTGACCTCCTTTTGCGATATAGGCCACCCAAGACTACTCCTTCTTTAACGGCTTCGCCGATTCTGCCTACCACAGCCAGGAGACCCCTCCAACAGCGCAGTGGACGCAGACGAACGGTCAGAGTTAGGCGTAATACCATAATTAACTTTAAACCCCTAAGCCCCGAAAACAGGTCAGGTTTT